ACATCAAAGTGATTAACATAACCAAGCTGGTGCAAATGATTTTCAACACTTGATTTGGATATTTTGAGTATGTCAGCTATCTCCCGAGTGGTGTAACGTTGATTGTTCTCAATTAATGTCTCCATTTGATTGCTATCAACTTCAACTGGTCTACCAGACCATGGAGCATCGTCCAGCAAATCTCCAGCACAAAACTTCACAAATCACTTTTGACACATTTGATTAGTTACAGCACCTTCTCCATACACTGCACAAATCTTTCTTTCCATTTCAGTTGCATTTCTACATTTCTTGAAACAATAGAGCATAATATCCCAAAAATGTAGCTTTTCTTCCATCTTCAATATTAAAATGGCTACACAAAAATTCACTAATTTTGATAAGCTTTTTTAAATGCACGCTGATATGACAGTTGTCACAACACAATCTAACAAAATTGTTTCGAATGAAGTTAAAGATAACTAAGTGCTGCTAGAGCCATCTTACGGAAAAAACTGAACAAACTTTTTGGTCAACTCAATACGTGTTGGCCATCTGTATGTCTTCTTTGGAAAAATCTGCCTATTCAAATCCTTTGTCCATTTTTCAATTGGATTTTTTGGGGTTTTTGCTACTGAGTTGTGTGAGTTCTTTATATTTTTTGGATATTATCCCTTATCAGATAATTCTTATTTCTGAAAGCTGACTTTTTTCCCACTTTGGAATAAGTTAATTATGTTTACATTACCTAACTTAGCATACATATGTTTCCCATGATTTAACCAAAAGCTGTAATTGTGAACTTTTTTCTCATACATTCATTATCTAACCAGCTCTTTATGTGTATTGACTATGTGCTCAAATGCTATCTACTACAGGATATCTGCACACACTATGGTACTGATTTTAGGCAACTGCTGCTGGCCCTTTTTTCTTTTCTCCCCACACTCATTTGTGCACATGACTTCACTCATCATCTTCATTAGTTTGCCAAATGGTCCTTCTCTAGCCCCGACTCTTCTCTTGGGCTTCAGTTCTACATTTCTGATGGTCCACTGGACAAATGTAACCAAATGTTCCCCTCAAAATCTAACAAAACCAAAACTGAATCTTCTTTTTCCTGCTCCCAAATCAGTCATTTCTGACTTGCCTCTTCCTGTCAGTGGAGCTGCCATTCTCTTGTCTGCCTAGGCTCCACTCCACTTCCCCCACAGATCATCACATTCTACCATCTCCTCCTTTAACACAGCCACAGCATGTTTTGGGGACAGGATTATGAATCTGGGGTCAGAAGGACTTGGGAAGTTAGTTGACCGAGATCTCTATGCCTCATTTTCCTCATCTTTAAAGTATACACCGGGATTGTTTTGAAGATTACATGATCCAATGCATACAAGAACCCAGTAGCACATAAGTTCTCACCATGCGTTGTTCTCTTCCCTGCCTTCCATCTGCGTGGCAAAAATTATAGTGGTGTCCCTCACAATATCTCATCTAAATGATTGCACTAAATTTCTAAACACTGCGTTTTCTCTCCAAACTCTTCCTAAAACACTATTTGGTTCACACTATAATCTTACCTAAAAGTCTTTAATGAATGTCTAATTTTTAAAGCAGAGGTGTCTACACTACTATATATGAAATAGATAATTAATAAGGACCTACTGTATAGCACAGGGAACTCTTCTCAATACTCTGTAATGACCTATATGAAAATAGAATCTAAAAAAGAGTATATATGTATATGTATATGCATATATGTATATGTATAACTGAGTCACTTTGCTGTACACCTGAAACTAACACAACATTGTAAATTAACTATATTCCAGCAAAAATTAAAACAAAACAAAACAAAAAATAAAGCAGAGTTGTCTAAAATTGGGTGGTTACTTCTTACTAAAGTATAAACTCTTTCGGGAAGGGCAAGTACTTTTGTGTATTCACATTAACCTTCCCTGAAGCACAATGCATGCACCAGGGGCTCAGTGAACATTTCTTCCAAAAAAATGATTAAAATGATGATCTTATCTGAAAGTTTGCAACAGAATATGAGGAGTTGTTTTCAGTATGCTAAATTCTTCAAGGATACTTTTAATTTCAGTTCTGACCTTTATATGGTCTTTCTTAACTCACTTAAAAATATTTGGTAGCATTTCGCTTGTCTGCTTTAGGTGTGGGAGCAATAACTGTTGGCTTCATCCCTCAGTATGTTTTTCTGTTCCTTGAAGAGATAAAAGTCTTGAATGAATTATGTACTGACTTTACAGTCATCAGCCACATTCACTGGAGGGCAGTGTTGTCACTAATCAGGCTCTAAATTCATTTCATTTTGCATTGCATTTGTTAGAGTTATCCGTTTATGAGTTAAAAGGAATATGGGAGTCTTTTTTTTTTTTAAGACTGGAATATATATCAGATGTGCACTACTGCACTTACCCTAATACAGCGGTTCTCAAACTTATATATGTATATGAACCACCCTAGACCTGGGCTATCCAATACAACAGCCACTAGCCATGTGGCAATGAAGCACTTGAAATGTGGGCAGTCAAATTGAGATGTGCTGTGAGTGTAAAATATACAGTGGATTTTAAGGACTGAGTACATAATTTATGCTGATCATATATTGAAATGAAAATATTTTGGCTCTGTTGGGTTAAATAAAATGTACTGGAATTAATTTCATCTGATGCTATTTACTATTTTAAATTAAAAGTGGCTACTAGCATATTCAAAATTACATATATGACTCACATTTGTGATTTATGTTATATTCCTTTTAGCACTGTCCCAGATGCTTGTTTAAAATGGTTCCTGGGTCCCACTTTTGGATATTCTGCTTTAGTAGCTCCAGGTTAGGAACCAGAAATCTGATACTTTTTATCTCTCCAAGTAATTCAATTGATAAGTCAGAGTTTTATACTGCTTTTGACCAGATGATTTTAAGGGTCTTCAGCACAGCAAACAGTGATTCAAAGAGAACAAAGGGAGTAACAGTTTTCGGTTTCAATTGTGTGACAATGGCCATCCCATAACAGTCACACATGTTTCTCAATTAGCAAAACACACTTCAAAATATAATCACAACACAACCATTTTATGGGAGTGGAAGGAAGCTGGGAACAATTAAGTAATATCTATCACAAATCTAAGTGCACATAACCGTTGCCTCACTTCTAGAAATCGATCTTGCCGATCTTCTCACAAGCTCACTATGATATACTTGTAATTCACTTCGGCACTATTTGAAATAGTGAAAAGCTGGAAAGTTATGAAATTATGACACATCCAACTGAATACTATGCAGGCTATAAACAAGAAGGTCATCTATATGTACTGATACAGAAAGATGTCTATGATACTTACCGGGGGCAAAGCAGGTTGCAGAAAAGGACACAGATCCTATTTGCATGTGAAAAAATACGTACATATATGTGCATAGAAAGTTTCAAAAACTATTAATATTGGTTACTGTTAATAGCAGGGAGAAGATTCCCAGAGATATGAAAAGGAACTTTTACTTTGCTTTTTATATCCTTTTGTACTGTTTTAGTTTTTTTAATATGAGGAATATGCAAATTTACATTGTACATTACAAAATGGTTATTTTCAAATATACATAACGCCCAGCCAAGTAAACACTTCATCGCTTAGATTCCTGTTATAAAAATTTGCTTTTCACCATTATCTTTTAATCTGGAGTTCGGTCTTCATTTTAATTTTCTAAAAAGCCACCGCATATATTCATTCATTCGTTTATTCAACCAGTAGTTACTGACCACCTGCGTTATGCCAGGCACTGTTCTAAGGCGGAAAAATAAAGTGCGGTGCACCGGCGGAGGACAATAAACAAACGCACACGTACATAATAACTAGTTGTTAAGTGCTATGAAGACCTCAAATTTCAAATGCCGAAATGTTCTAATGTCACGTGCTCCCGTGTGTGCATATACGTACGTATATTTACCCGTACTTACTAATTAATGCAATCATAGCTACTGAATTGAAGTGTCGTTTGGATAAAGCATTCTGGGAAATTTCTCAAATTAATCTTTCTCCTGCATGCATTATAATGAATTTAGTACAAAAAAATGTAAATAGCAAAGCCTTTTTTTTTTTTTTTTTGGTTGTGTGAATTTAGGAAAATTATTTAGCTACTTCAGGCCTCAGTGTTCTCCTCTACCAAGCGGAGGATTTACCTCTCGGGTCTCCCGTCTCGGGGTGAATTCTCTGGGCGTATCAGCGTTAACAGCAGCGCCCTGCGCCCGGCGGCGTGTGGGTGGGGCGGGTCCCGCTGAGCGCAGCTGGGCCGCGTGCTGCGCGGCGGGCCGGCTCTCCCGAGACGCGCGGCGTTCTCGCTGTGGACCGGAGGAGAAACACGGTGCTTTCACAGACTTTTTTCACCCGAGCATTTCTGCCCGCCAATTTCTCTTTCCGGGCGTGCAGCGGTCGCCCGGCGTCAACTCCCGCAGGCGCCAGCCAACCAGCCAGCCCGACTTCTCCAGCAGGTCACCCGGTGAGGCCGCCCTACACTCAAGTCCACTGCTACACTCAAGTCCACTGCCGGCCCCGAGCCGCCCCAGCCGTCGCGAGCAGACTTGGCTCAGTGTAGGTGGTAGCCTCGCCTGCAAAGGCGGCTGTTCGTTTAAATTCTGGCGCCACTCCCGCGCCACGTAGAGCCAGACTCGGAAGCGACGGACCGCGGCGAGCCAGCGGGCGCGCGCCCGGGGCTGGGCGTGCGCGCCGCGGAGGGACGGCGCGCGCACCACGCCCCGGAACGAGCCCCCGAAAGAAAAGAGCCGCCTGGCGCGCTCTCGCTCCTCCCGTCAGGAGCCTGTCACGCCCCCTTACTCTACAGCGTCCAATAGATGCGAGAGGGAGGGGCGGCCTCTTTCCGGCTCGGGAGAGAGTATATAGGGAACTGCTGGCGACACCGCTCGGTCTTTTACGTCAGGACCTGGGATCTACTGTGTGGTTCTAGGTAAGCATGCGTTGCGGGCTGGTTGTCCGAGCGAACCCGGGCGGCGCAGCTTAGGTTGGGGGCTGCAGAAAGGTGAAACGATTTCGGAAATTGGAGCTTAGAGTGCGGTGATGAAAACTTGGACGTGGGGAACGCGCCGCCGGGCCGCCACGTGTCCCGAGTCGTGGTGGCGCCCGGCTTCGAGCGTAGGCGTGCGGAGGCGGCAGCTGGTGGCCGCGGCGCTGCGCGCGGCCTGGTTGTTACGCCCGGGCAGCCCCTGACTGAACCTGGGAGGCGGCCGGCAGAAGACAACATTCCTGGGATTTGGGGGCGGGGGGTTACCCTTAACGTTAAGAGCGAGAGTCCTGTGATAGGGTGTCTTTCTCCCATGGCCAGATCAACAGTTATTTCAAAACGGGCAGCCCCGGACTCGGCGTGAGACTGAGTTGTATTGTGCCGAGGTGGCGCTGTGTGCAAATAGGATTATTGAAGGGGAGGAGTTTAGTGCTGAAAACCTTGAACTATGACATTCTGTGAGAATACTTAATTTTAAATAGATGCCCCGCAAGAACAATGGCTTTCGGTGTAACGGAGCTGTTATGTGGAGAGGCAGAGGTAAGGGTTGTTGAGGGCCTATTTTTAAACCGAAGGAGTAAACCTGTTGATTTACAGAAACGATGATGGAGCGTCATTTGAAATTAAACTTCTTTTTTTTAGATGCAAAGGAAAGTTCCAAAACGTATGGGAGGTTTGCTGGAAAATGACTTGGTTAAAACTTGACAATCTTACCAGGTGTGTATTGGACCCGTATTAATACTTTGAGTCTGCATGTGTTTAGTCCACATGTAGAGTAAATGAGAAATTTTTTTGTCCTCGAAGGAGCATCCTGCAGGTCGATGAATACTAATGAAGCTATGACCATCACCGATTGATGATAAACAGCTTCATTTGAAAGTAAGTTATGTGGCTTACAGCATCTACTATAGCATTCCGTAGTACTTGCCTTTTAACGTTGCTCTGGTTTATGGTAAGTGTCAGTGTGATCGAGCTTAATGGAGTTTGGTCTGATCAATGAGGAAAGCTATCCCTAAACGGATTACCTGAAGAAAAGTATGTACGGATTCGGCTTCTGAGATAAGACCAATATGCAGATATGAGATAACAAATTTTTGTTGCCTGGATTTTATAACTGAGTTTTCTGTTAGCTTATGCCTCTTATAGGGGAAAAACTGTTGCTTCACACAAGTGTTTTTCTTCTCTGCCAACAGTGACGGGGTCGCTGTCTGCCTATTGAAAGAGGCCAGTTTGCCATGAAGTTCCTAAGGTGTAAACATGTCTGTGAGTAGAGATATTTTGCTTAACAATCAGTCAATCTTGTGTCCTTGGTCTTATCTATGATGATCCTATCCCGAACCTGAATTTCTGTTGAAAAAAACTTATATACGGATCTGGCTTCTGAGATAGACCATTATAAGGACGACAGTATATTTGAAAATTCCTTTAAATAAGTTCTTGAGATGTTGATAGTCTTGTAAATCTCAAATGTTCTTCCTTTTCTAGGGCTAGTGCCACGAGATTTACTTGTCTGTTGTATGAAAAACTGGTGATCAGGAAAAGCTCTTCATTTTATGGACACGGAAAGAAAACAAAACTCAAGACATTATTTAATTTTGAAACTGCATTTGTAAATAGATTACTGAGCCAACATCAAATCTAGATTAATGCATCCATAAGATTCAAGCCATTTCTGTTTAATCTTGTCACTGCCCTAGAGTCATAACCTGTTAGCCAGTATATTATTGATACTTTCTAGCTCTGAAACTGTTTTTAATGGAAAACTCTTTTTCAGTTGTTCAGCCTTGTAATTAAATAATTCTGAGTGAATGTTTAGCCTTTGGTCACCTGTCTGAATTTAAAATGCATAATTGTAAATACAGCCAAGTGAGAGTTTATACTATTGTAGGAAAATCCTTAGAAGGGAGAGATGACTGGGTTTGGCGCTCACAAGGATCACAAGGGGATATGGAAAACCTTGGCTTTGTGCAGGGTACTAAGTATTACAGAATTACTGGAGGTGAGGGCAGAGGAGAGAGACAGGACCTATGGGGTGAGGGGAGGGAAAGCCAGGCATCAAAACGATCCAGTATACTGGCTGAATTGTGGAATATTTAGTCCTAGTATAATAGTAATGTGAAGGGTTATTTATGCTAAAAATGGGGAGGAGTAATGCTGAAAATTAAGGAAGAGAGCACAGCATAACAGTCAGGAGCCATGAGGGAAGGTCACTGATAAAATCTGGGTTAAAACTGGTCAAACATTGTACAGAATGGATTAGTGTAAACAGTAATAGCATCTGATCTAACCAAGGTGGTTGGGCTCCGTGCATAATCATTTTCCCTAAGTAGCTGCATGAATAAATTGTTCCCAAGCCCATATTTAAATGTCAAAGTCAGAGTGCCAATATTCTTGTCACCTTATAATGAACTCTGTTTCTTAAAATGTTCACCTGCCTTGGTGAGAATTCAGTTGGGTCCATGCAGCTCAGTCAGGTTCATGAGACTGATAAGCCTGTAAGTGGTCAGGCACATAGTGAATTTGGCCCAAGTGTTAAGACAGTGTACAAAAACTGGGGCTCTGAAAATGTTTCTAGCAGTCCGTGTACAGCATTGTTACATTGTTCTTTATTGCACTCAGTGTATTTGGAAATGAGGAAACTTTGGCACTGCAATCTGCACCGTTGATCACTGATCTCCCTTACCCTGCTTTATTTGGTTGGAACTTTTACAACATGCTCGATAAGATCTGTTTCACACACTGACATCTTAAGTACCTAGATACCTTAACTACCTGGCACTTGGTTGTCAGTAAATGTTAAACGAACAATGAATGATTAAAGACCAATTGGGATCTACACAAAACTTGCAGAGAAAACTGCCCTTTTGTCAAAGTTGGCAAACATCAGTCACTTCAAAACAAGGCATGAAATGAATAAAACTTGGCTTTAGAGCCCTCTGACCTCTTTTCCCTCAGTCCCTTCTGGTTTTGCTCCTTTCCCTCCCAGTCAGTCTTATAATATTTCCTTAGTTGATAGAATCCAAATAATGTACATATACTTCATTGCACTATACTAGGTCCTGCCGGGGAGGTCAAGGGTAAAACATTTCCTATGTCCTCTGTCACATCAATAGTTGTACGAGATACCAAGAAAGAAGGCAAGATACAGGGATGCAAAGAACTGAGAAGATTGAACAAGTGATACATTTAGGTGTAGGAGACACCAACCAAAGATGGTATGCTGAGGGCGGTAAATTGAGAATTTAGGCATCAGTTGGATGGATAGATGTGGGACAAATAAGGTGGAGGATAAGACTGAAATGCTACAGTACCGCAAGCTTTTTGAGCAACAGAGAACTAAAAAAGTATCATTCAAATTCCCTGAAACTTGACATGTTTTCAGTAGGAAGAGACATAGTCACTTATTGAGCCCTACTGATTTTGCAGGGTACACACTTGACAAGAGATGAGAGTTGGGTCCAGAAAGGTACAATTTTAGTGGAACTTAGCTCAACATAGCAGCTTCCTTTTAAATTACCGATTGATTAGTAGCACTTTTCTTTCGCACAACAGAGGTCTTGTTATCCTCTACGGCCTTCTGATTTGTGAATGCTGACCTAGCTGGACAATAGGCAACTAACTACTAGCTAAGACCAGGGACCTTAAGCTGTTATCTGGGTAAGGGATTTACCTTCCAGAGCATATCTGCAAAAAGAGGCAGCGTAGATTAAAAATCAAAAGCCTAAAGACATAAACGAATAGGACTGAAATAGACCAGGATCTGCTTGGTTAGGGCTGGTTTCAGATTGAAAGCAGATTCTACATGTGTGTGACTTGAGCCAATAATTTTCCCTGCATAACACCATGCCTCCAGGTTATCTTAAAATACAGTAGGCTCAATCCTACCTTTTGGTGTTTTCTAAATTAGTTCTATTGCTAGAAATCCAATATCCATTGCACTGTGCTTCCCAGTCAGGTGCCCTCTGAACTGATTATACACTTCATAACCCTTGCTGTTTGCCCAGCCTGTGTGAAAGCTTTTGGCTGTTTCATGATTTTTAAACCAGTTCACCCATTAAATTTAGAGCCTTTGAATCCCAGCCTACTAGGATAGTCTGCTTATCTTTTGTCAATTCCTGCTCCCTGGGGGTGGGACCCTCCTTCCCATATTTCTTCCCAAAAGCTTGGTTCCAGATCCAGATAGTATTTAAAGCATGGTATTTATAATTACCTCACTGAATATTGCCACTGCCTCCAGCATTGTTCCACCTCACTGATTCTACATTTTGGGGTATGTACAGAAATGAGGTCAAAATATAAGTGTGCCATGAAGCTTTGAAAATTTTATGGACCATTTTGAGGTGGGGCAGGAAGGGTACCTTTCTAATATGAGAACCACTCAGTCTCATTCTCATAAGTCTTGACCTCTTCCCCCTGACCACTAGTCAGTCCATCTCTGAGGTCCTGGCATGCCATGCAGCTGAGTTATAACAGGAAATAGATTTAATCTCACAGAATCCCACATGGAGTACAGTATGATCCAACGTACTTGGGAACTTTACCTTAGTTATGCTTACTCAGTTGATTATAGTTCCTTTCAAAGGAGTATTAACAATGCAAAAAGCATTTCAGAATTCTCATAGAATTCATCATTTGAAGAAAATATTTATAAATACAGTACATTACCGAGGTCAGGAAACTGGATGTGCCCTTGCCTCCTAACTACTGAATACAGTTACAGAACAATAAATGGTTCATTTTTAAAGTGTACAGTTTGATGAGTATAAGTATGCACCCATGAAACCATTACTGCAATCAAGATAGTGGTTAAATCCATCTCTCCCCAAAGCGCCTTTTTGCAGAGGCTTGATTTTGAACATGGTAAGTTTGAGATATGGGGAGAGATCTGAGCTGGAGAGTCATCATGTGGATGGTATATTTAAAGCCATAAGGTGAGATCACCAAGGGAGTGAATACCAATGGAGAAGTGGTCCAAGAGTTGAGTCCTGGGACATTCCAGGAGTAAGACATTTCAGGTTTATTTCAAATCCTAAAGATGATTTTGTATCAACAAAAACTGGGAAACAAATCTGTTGTCAAGTTCAACTGCCGCATCTGAAACAAACTAGATAGAAAATCAAGGAGTTTCAGAAAACAAGGGTGAGAGCTAAGGAAATAATTTCTTGGGGTAATGAGGCTGGAGGTCAGCATAAAATTGAAGGAGTTAATATCCAAGGACAACTTTGCAAAGTGGCCTTCCAGAGAGAAGGAGATGAGGAATTTACGAAGTGTGATAAAGGTTTTCATCAGACACTGGACTTGGAGAAGTGGAGTTGACTACAGACAAGTTAGAGGTTTGCCTTGCGGTGCTAAAGTGCCTGATGAAGCTGAAAACTACCAAGTGTAGTAGTTAACATAATTCTTCACTATTCTATGGAGCTCATCCATGTGGGAGCAGAAAGCAGATCAGTGGATTAATCCAAAATTAGGGATAAACTGGACAGGAGGAGCAGAGTCATGATGGGCCAATCAAGGGTGTAGATGAAAGTAGTGTTAAAATTGACCTTGAGATCCAGGTTGATTAGGGAAAAAAATTAGACTGCTGGGAAACCGTCCCAGGTAATAACAAAGATGAGATGTACCATAGAAAGATGATGAAAATGAGGTAAAATAAGATCCTCTCCAGTTATACTATAAAATGACCCATAGCAGTTGTATTTCTAATTAGTGTTTATCTCTCTCTGGCCCTAGAGTGTGTTCTTTTCAAGCAGAAACTTGCCCTTTCACTTCTTAAACTCTGTGCCTAGTATACAATGTAATGACTCCCATTACAAATTAGTCTCATTAAAATGGAATTCAGTATGTATATTTAGGGTGGGCAATGATGGTATGACCTAAGTTCTCCAAAAGAGATAAAAGTAATGAGAAAAGTTGAAAACTTGTGATGGACTCAATATTTGTGTCCTCCCCAAATTCATATGTTGAAGCCTTAACCCCAGTGTGGCAATATTTGGAGATGGAGCCTCAGGGGAAGTAATTAAGGTTAAATGATGTCATAAGGGTAGGGCCCTTGTCCGATAGGATGAGTGTCCTTGTAAGAAGAAACACCAGAGAGCTCACTCTCCCTCTCCATGTGCACCCACAAGAAAGAGGTCATGTGAGGATACAGTGTGGTGGTGGCTGCCTACAAGCCCAAACAAGAGGCCTCAGAATAAAACCTACCTTGCCAGCACCTTGATCTTGGACTTTCCAGCCTCCAGAGCTATGAGAAAATTAATTTCTATTGTTTAAGCCATTCAGTCTGTGGTATTTTGTTATGGCAGCTTTAACAGGCTAAGACAGAAGTAAAGGATAAATGGCCACTGCTATAATTAGGGGACTTTATATTTAGCTAAAGATTTATGAGTAATAACTACGGAAAAAGTCCATGCAATGTAATGTCTCTGGTTTTATACATTTTCCCTTTAGGTTTTTACTTATTACATTGAAACTGGATTGACAATGCACTTCCTTTTTTTTTTTTCTTTAAATGCACTTTCTTATTGAATAATAACAAACAGCTGCCACTCACAGAGCTTTCCAACCTGTTTCAACATCAAGATCAGTTATTTAAGAAATAGATAATTTTTCAATTAAAAAATCTCAGTAAAGAAACTAGAGGGAATTCCCTGGCAGTCCAGTGGTAGTACTCCTTGCTTCCACTGCAGGGGGCACAGGTTCAATCCCTGGTTGGGGAACTAAGATCCCGCATGCTACACACCGTGGCCAAAAAAAAAAAAAATTAGAGATAGAAATTAAACTATCTTATAAAGTGAGTGTTATCTGAAGTCTTATGGTTCACAGGAAAACCTTTTTAACATAAATGAAATTAGATCTTTTATAATCACCTCATATAACAAAAAATGGTTTAGGCTTACTAGATATTTCACAGTGTAAAATTTCCTTGTTGTATATGAACGTTAAGATTGCAAAAAAAATTTTAACATCTTTGGTAACTGATAGGTCATATCTATCATGATTTCACTGTTTAATGAAAAATACTTGGTATAAAATAATGGCTGACACTTCTATAGTTCCTTTTATTTTCCACAGTACTTTGACATACATCATCTTGGTTTCTCCTACAGTAACCCAGGGAGTAGGCATTATTAGTATTTACACAATTTATATGTGAGTGAACTGTGAGACTTAAAATATAGGATGCTTAAGGTCTAGATCACTGGAAGGAATGATTGCATCATCATCTGTATTTTGCACACTATAATATAGACTTTTTAGTTTGGGTGCCACATTTAAGAACAGTGACAAACTAGGGGGCAACCTAAGGATGAAGACAAGGGTTCTAGAAACCATGTCATTCTAGAGAATATTTTAAGGACTTGGAAATACTTAACCTGAAGAAGTGAAAATCAAGGGAAGGCATGATAACTATTTTCAGATATTTGAAAGTACTTCATGTGGAATAATAGTAATAATCCCATCTGGTAGGTACTATGATTAGGCCAATTTTACAGATGAGGAAACTGAAACTTAGAAAAGTAACCTAATGAAGGTCACAGGAAGTGAGGGAATTAGATTGAAAATCTGGCAGTCTAAATCAAGAGATGGTGTTCTTACCCCACTAAATACCTTCCCCAGAGGAGTAGTTAACTGAAGTGTTTCTTTGGAAGACACAAAGGAGATCAATGAATTAAAAAGAGGAAAACTGCAACCTAAAAATGAACTTTCCAATAACAGGATGTACTGTCTCCTTATCACAGTCTCCTATCAGTGTGAGCTGGAGGAAGGAGGCTGGTCCTAGTCAACTTCAAAGACCACTCTAAGTCTAAATTCAGATTCTTGAGTTGCCCAAGGTAACCCAGCTAGTTAATGACCAAGTTGACAACCAACACCTTCTATCCCTCTCTCAGTCCAGTGCTCAATCCACTGATAGTGTGGTGCCCCAATTTTTTTCCTGCAAAAATTCAAATTTCCTCAGAATTCATTAATCTATGGGAATGGGAAAGATGGTACAAACCAAATAACTTTAATCGACTATTTTTATACAAAAGTACAATTTGGGGCCTGTTACTAATGGTTGATCAATTTAATTACATTAGTGCCACAGAGGCCTTAAGCAGACTAAACTTCTCTGGGGCAACAGTAAGGTGTATTCTTTGGGGGTACATCTCAATTCTGATTTTTTATTTTCATCACTGATGTAGACTAGCAGTTTAAATTACATTTCTTCTTCAGAAATGAATGCAGAAACATTGCTCAGAGTCTGAACACACACCCAGAAATGTCAAGATAGTTTTGAAATTCATGGACCTGTTTCCACATATCTGAATAAAGTTCAGTTTCTTGATGACTTTTGTTTGCTTTTTTTTTTTTTTAATTTTTAATTGTCATCTTAGTTCCCTAACCATGGATCGAACCCGCCCCCCCTGCAGGGGAAATGCGGATGGAGTCTTAACCACTGGACCACCAGGGAAGTCCCAAGTTTTGTTTGCTTTAAATTCAATCTGTTCCTTTGAAGATCAAGGCACACTGAGAGGTTAGGTGTGGGGTGATTCAGAAACATCCTAAGGTTTCACTCTTTTGTTCATTGAACAAATAGGCCCTGAATAGTTACCATGTGCAGGTACTGTCCTAAGCACTGAAGATACAGCCATGAACCAAACGAACAAAATCCCTGCCCTTGTGGAGCTTACATTTTAGGAGGAGGAAAAGAAGGATAAATTATAAAGTATGTGAGAAATTATAAAGTATTTGAGAGAATGAGAAGCAACATGAAAAAGAAAATAGAACACAGGACATTGGGAGTGGGTTTGGGGAGGGAGGTAAATACTGTTGTCATTTTTAAATACAATTGACAGGATAGGCTTCAATGAGAAGGTGAGATTAAGCAAAGACTTACAGAGAGTGAGAGATTGAGCTATGGACATATCTGAGCAAAGGGCATTCCCAGGCCAAAGACAGGTGCATGTGTGTTAAAGAAAGAGAAGAAACACGGCACGCGGATCATGTCGGGTCTTATGCGTCATTGAAAGAATTTTGCTCTGAGTAAAATGGGAACCCGTGTAAAAGGAAATACAGAAACTGAAAGTATGATTCATGTGCATCAAAACCTGTGAATCCTACCCCTGTGGCCCAGATTGTAGTCTCTACTATTTACCATTAAAAGAAAACAGGGCTCATTGGAGAAATGACTGATTACAGAGCTGAGGCAAGAAATGTACAAGATGCGCCTTCTGCATCTTGCTATATAGTATAGGCGAGCAAGAAAGCTATCAGACATTTGCGGTTGTGTGAAAAGAACTCAGGAGCCAGCTTGGAGCATCTCCTACTGTCCAAATATGGAAATGCTGACTATTATCAAGGATGATAACTCCAATAGACTGAGATACATAAAATATGTTCAAATCTGTGAATTCATAATGATACCCTAAAAGAAAAACCTGATTTTGATGCTGTTAGAAGATGCTAGTGAACCAACTTATCAATTTCAGAACTGGCAAATAAGGGACTTTCCAACACCAACTGCAGTAACAGATAATCAGATTGAAAGTGAGAAAGTTTTTTATTGATGTATCCCAGTTCGTAACTGAAAAAGATTGACAGAATATCACCATTTGTAACATCTCTTGAATTAATGTACCAGCAGTGATCATCCATGTTGGCTAACATAAAAAAAAAAAAAGAGAGAGAGGGAACAGAGTCTAAGTGGCTGACTGGATGTTTTGGGGTCGTGTCAACAGCATGCTACTTGAAAATCTGCTTTCCACAGG